TCCTCAGTCTAGTGGTTCTACACTTAATGCTCCTTAACCTCCTTCCTAAGGGGAGTGGGGCAAAAAGTGTGTGTGCTGGGTGGGTGGGGTCCTTCATGATGCAGGTGGCCCTCTTCCTGCATCTGGAGGTGTAGATGTCTGTGATGGTGGGGAGACTGACTCCAACAGATTTCTGTGCAGCCTTCACCACTCTCTGCAAAGCTTTTCTTTCTGCAGCTGTGCAGCCTCCATTATGCACGGTTGATGATGATAACTTAAAAGTCTTTGCTATTTTACGCTGGGTAACACCATTCTGGTATTGCTGGACTATCTTTCTGCGCAACAATGGTGGAATTGGTGATCCTCTTACCATCTTGGCTTCTGAGAGACACTGGCACTCTGAGAAGCTCTTTTTATACCCAATCATGTTGTCAATTGACCTAATTAGTGTTAACTGGTCTTCCAGCTGTTGGTTATATGCTCAATTTCCTTTTTCCAGCCACTTATTGCTACTTGTCCCAACTTTTTTGGGATTTGTTGACACTGTGAAAATTTGAATCAACATATTTTTCCTTTAAAATGTTACATTTACTCAGATTAAACTTTTGATCTGTCATCTATGTTATATTACGAATAAAATATTGACATTTGCCATCTCCACATCATTGCATTCAGTTTTTATTCACAATTTGTTTAGTGTGCCAACTGTTTTGGAATCCGGTTTGTATATTATATATTATATTATAGTTATTTATAATCTAGAGGAATCACTGGTTGAAGGTTTAAGGATAGAAACGTAACTTTGTGCCGTCACTTTACCATCCTTTCCATGTTTGTGTTTTATCTTTAGATAACTTGGTGGAGGGGAAGAGGAGGCGTCGAGGAACCCCCGGGGGTCAGAACTCAAGCAGCTGCAGCCCCCGGACCCCCACTTCCTCCAGCAAGAGAAAGTTAATGTCCGAGGAAAACCGGACTCCGTCCAAAAGGGGGCGCAGAGGAGGTGGAGCCAGAGCTGGTACAGGGCCCCGCCCCCGCCAGGACCATGACTGCCTCTGATGGGCGGGGGGAGGGGGGTTTCAAATTTTAAATTTGAGCTGATAGAATAACCCTCAGTTTTCTATTTAACATGAGGGGGAGGGGCATGTTATGGATTTTAAAACGTTTTTAGAAATATTTTAACATAAACAACTTTTAATGTTTTTCATATCATGAAATTTTACCTTTTATTGATTGAAGGAGACATTTTAATGATTCTATAAAGAGTTTGTGTAACTGAAGCTTCTGACCTCCTTATTGCTCGTGCGCCCGCTCCTGTTGGACAGCTGCTCCAGAGGCTGACCTGGTAATCTGACATGTTTCTAATGGGAGGGGGTGTTGGTGCACTGGTGGAGGGGGCAGCCATGTTTCACGGGTGGAATGCCGTATTTACATGGACGATGTGTCACTTGAACCACTTCACAGATACTTTTCGTTTACGTTTCACACAAACTTCAGATGTGAGCCATATTTTAACACAACTCTTCACTGTGCAAAAGTTTTAATCAAGCCTCAGATTTTATATTTTACCTCCCACGAGTCAGATTTTTGTCTCGTCTTTTAAAGTGGTCTTTAGGAGTCTTTCCAGTCTTTATATTTATCAGATCCGTTTAATATATGTTCCTGTTCGGTGCCCTGAGATGACTTCTGTTGTGACTTGGTGCTGTATAAATAAACTGAATTGAATTGATTATTATGATTTGAAAATTTGTGACTTTTTTCCATTTATTTTTACTTCAAGCCACCTAAACCTGGTCTATAAATTATTTAGATGTAAAAGCTTCTACATCCAAAACAATATTAACACCAAAAACAGTCATTCATTCAGGAGCTGTCCCCCCACCTCAGAGACTGCATCGACCCAGCCTTCAGCAGACGTCCTCTTTATGTCCCAGAGCAACACACGTTGAGACACTGGATGCTTCCACTGATCGTATTAGCTTGTTGGGTCACGGAGACACATTCAGGGTTTGGGTTAACAACAAACATCTGTCTCCCAGAGAAGAGACACGATCCTCCCGCAGGTTTAGGGTCTTCTCCGGGGTCTTCTCTCAGTGCGACGTGAGCTGAAAACCTGTAGGAGGGACGTGATCAGGAGGGCGTCCTAATCTGACGCCTGAACAGCCTCAGCTGACGAGTTCTGAATCATATGTCCAACTTGAAAACCAAAAACTTTAAAATATCTTTTAAAGTTTGGAAAACTCACTGAAAACCACTTTAAAGGATCTCAGAAAGTCGAGCTCAAACCTACAGAAACTGACTCAGGACTTCAGCCCAGCTGAAGATCATTTATGCTTGGATGTTCCTACGTTGTGTCCTTTAAATCATAGAAATCTTTCTCTTCCTTCAGCTCCGCGGGTCGGTGTGTGTGACACCTCGGGCAGCGGCACTGACCTGTATCCTCCGTGTGACGTGGCTGAGACTCATGGCCCGCTGCCTCAGAACACGTCCCTCTTTATGGGCTTCGCCTTCATGCTGACGGCCTCATCTGAGAGCGACCGCATGAGCAACAAGGTCTCCAGTGATCACGATGAGGGTGAGGCACTTTGACTCTTCTGGCAGGATGTCAGCTCTTCATCCTCAGCTGACGTCCAGCAGAGCTGAAGACTCGGCTGTGTTTGTCCATCTTATTCTTTATTTAAAATCAGTGGTTCTCAAAACTTTTTGTCAGGACCCCTGTTTGAAGAAAGACCCCCCCCCCCCCCCCCCCCCGCCCTGGGACGAAAAACCAAAACATTAACAAAACGTCAAATTCTCCTAAGTATTCCCTACGTAAAATTAAATCTTTAAACTCTAATCCTTTTAAGTGAAATAAAATTCTTTAAGGATTTTAAAGTTGATCAGTTGATCTGGCAGATAAAAAAAATATGTTTAAAATTATTTTGACTTTTTAAAATGTTGAAAATAACTAAATTATAAACCATAATTGCTAGTCTCCAGAGCGCACCTGAATATAAGTTGCGCACACTAAATTTAAAAACAACAATTTATACATATATAAACTGCAGCTGTTCATGTTGTAACATGAGTAGCAGCACACGACTACTAAGAGATGTACAGCTCGTTGTAGATCAAGAATCAACCAACGTGACTGGCAGTCACATGGTCTCAGAGAGGGATTATGGGTAAAATTTATGTTCATTGTTAATAATTTAGGTTAGCTGTTTATTAGGGAGGGGTGTAACGGTACGCTAAAATCACGTTTCGGTTCAGTTTCAAGGAGGGCTCGATTCGGTTAATTTTCGGTACAAAAAAGGCTAAAATAAAGACTTACAAAATGTTTATTTTGAAAATATGCCAAGTAAACAAGTTCAGTCATTACAGACTTCTTAGCTGGAGGTGATCTGGTGGATGAAGAAGACTCAGCTACTGTCATCCTCAGACTGCAAACAACACAGAGATTAAAAAAAGAGTTAATAAGATTATAATTTTAAATTAAAAAAGTTAATTAGTTCATAATAATACAGTAACAATACCTCTTCTTGCACAGTCATCATTTTTGATATGAGGTGGTTGAATCTCTCGCTCATCATTAATATAACAGGACTTTAAATCTGGTCCAGGGCTTGTTGACAATTTCAGTTTTAGCTTTTTCATAAAGTGCTGCTACAACTTTTTGGCTGAAGTGTTGACATGATGGGATGTTGTAGAGGGGCTCAAGAACTTTAATCATATGCTTAAAGCCGGCTCATCAACAGCAGAATTTGGACGTAGATCCAGAGCTTTAAAAACTCCTACAGCTTGTGTTATTGCTTTGGACCGAACTGAATTTTCTGATGAAGGTTGTTTAAATGCTGCTGCTATCAGTCTTTGCACCAAACTACGTTCACGTTTGGATGATGTTGTTTCAAGTGCGTTAACAAGTTAGATGTGTTGCCTGCGGCAGATCCAATCTCTGTGAAACAACGTCGACACACAGCTTTGGATTTGTTCACTTGTCTTTAACAAGAAAGACATAATGTTCCCAAACAGGAGTCCGCAACGAGATGCTAGGCTGCTAATGTTACGCGTGCTGCAAAATAATAGTGCCGTGCTGAAACACGCTTAGGAACTTTAGTTCTGTGGCGCATAATCTCTCGTTAATAAAATTTAATGAGCGACAAAATAACCGAAATGGTACGCACGTGGACCGAACCGAACATGCCGTACCGCAACAGCTCAATACACCCACATGTACCGTTACACCACTACTGTTTAGTTTTAATCTTTTAGTGATTAGTCTGTTCTTGTTAACTTAGTTTACGTGTTCATCATGTGTTAGTTTGTGTTTGAACATTCAGTAGAGTAACCATGAGTGAGGAAGATGTCTGTCATGAAGACCTGTGGAGTTCACTCTGTCTGTGTGTGTCACAAAGACCCACCCCCCACAAAGAGATGTGTATTGGGCAGCTATGTGAGCGCCCAGGTGCGACGAAGCTAAATGTTTTTGGCGGCATGAAGCTCGTTAGCCCGTAAAAAAAAACATAAATTTGCTGCAGCATTGTATAAGCCATGGGGGAGTGGTGGCGCAGAGGTTAGAGAGGGAGGGCCTGTGATCGGAAGATCGCTGGTTCAACTCCCGGTACAACAACATCAAATGTGGGTGGGTAATGTGAAGCACCCACACCTGTCTCTACCTTCATTTGTCCCACTCTGGACCCTTGAGCAAGACCCTTACCCCCACCATTTGCTCCCCTGGGTGCCCTACATAGCAGCTCTCTGCTCCACACAGAGGGCTGTGGTAGCTCAGTGTCTGTGGTTGAGTCAGGAAGGGCATTCGGCATAAAAAAAAAACAATTGCCAAGTCTTCATGCAACTTAGTTCGCTGTGGCGACCCTTGAAGAAGGAAGCAGCAGAAAGAAGAAAAACATTTGTATAAGCCGCGGGGTTCAAAGTCTGTGAAAAAAGTAGCCGATTATAGACCAGCAATTACGGCAAATTCAATAACACATTATGAATTGTTATATTTGAAAATAACAATTTATAGATTTTATGTGGCCAAAAGTTCTTCAACATTAAATAACTGCTAGCTTAATAATAATACAGGCAAACTACTCAAAAAAAAAAAAAAACTGAATTAATGCAAAAAACACAAATAACATTACATGTATGATCATTAAATGCCTCACGTCTGTTTATCTCCGAAAACTAAAGTAGCCGAAATGAGACACTGACAGACTGCCTCCTCCAAACGGCATCGAGGCGTGGAGGAGAACTCACCTCAGCCGGGTTGACTTGGAGCTTCAACACATTGAATGTGTGACGGACCTCTGCCTCATATCTTTAATAAAACGTTAACTCGGTTTAGAGATCTTCAGTTAAAGTCCATGATTTTACTGATAATTTACTTCTCCATTTTCTAAACCTGTTCTCTGGTAATTAACAGATTTGTTATTTTTACAACCTTAAAAATGTTTGGGCTGCAACATTTATTGCAAAATTAGTTCCACCTGCTATGTGTTTTGCCCTTTTGGGGGTGGGGGGGGGGAGGGGTCAATGACGTTGCACCCTTCCTGGCATGGACCCAGGCCCCCCTAAGAACTGCTGGTTTAAACCTGTGTTGTTCTCTGAGCAGCATCTCAACACAGACCGTACAAACTCTTCAAGTAGCAACATCATTAAAGACTCTGATATCATGGACCAATGATAATGGTAAATGGATTGTACTTCTATAGCACCTTTTTATCTTATTTCAAGATACTCAAAGCTCTTTACACAACAATCTGTGCCTCATTTACCCATTCATACAGCACTCTACTAGATCTCTACAAAGCTAATTGAACAAATCATTCTAAAGAGACTAATCAGAGCTTTATCACATTCATACACTGATGGGACACACATCGTAGGCGATGAGGGGTTCAATGTCTTGCCCATGGACACTTCGGCATATGACTGCTGGTGGGTTCGAACCCCCAACTCTTGCATTCGAGGACGACTGCTCTAACCACTCAGCCACAGCCGCCCCAAAGCAAAACAAAAAAAATGTAGAAACGTTTCGTCTTTCACCCGAAAGACTTCCTCAGTCTGCGGTGCTGTATTCAACTCAGTCTCTTAAATAGCACCGTCTCAGAGTGGATCAACCAGTTTGCTGCTGACAACCAAAACCAGCTGATCACATGCTCAAGAAGGACCATCAGCCTAACGATGGATCATTAGCACACTGATGGCTTTTTACTATTCACAGAGGGCTGAGTGATACTAGCAATCACAGCATTGTAAGAGGGGGACAATTGAACCCGGAGGCCTCCACCCCTGTTTAATGATGGACGATTTATTTTCACAAAGATGGCCTCCTTTACTCCTCTCTCAAACCATTGTTCCTCTCTATCCAGGATGTCAACATCTTCATCCCTGAAAGAGTGACCGCTGGCCTGGAGATGAGTGTAGACCGCAGAGTCCTGGCCTGATGTTGTTGATCTTCTGTGCTGGGCCATCCTTTTGGCCAGTGGCTGTTTAGTTTCTCCGATATAAGACTGATCACCCTCCTGACACTGAACAGCATACACAATATTACTCTGTTTGTGCCGGGGGACAGGATCTTTGGGATGAACCAGTCTTTGCCGTAATGTATTTTGGGGTTTAAAAGCCACTGGGACGTTGTGTTTAGAAAATAAACGTCTCAGTTTCTCTGATACTCCCTCAACATACGGAATGACCACTGGTCTGGGTCTGGGTTCCTCCTTTTCACCTGTTGGCTGACTGGAGTCCTGTTTGGGTTTCTTCTCTGCTTTCAGGAAGGCCCAGTTAGGATATCCACATTGCTCTAGAGCCTGTTTTGTGTAGGATTTCTCCTTCTGCCTGGCTCCTGAGCTAGTGGGGATGCTGTCTGCTCTGTGATACAGAGTCCTGATGACTCCTAACTTGTGCTCCAAAGGGTGATGGGAGTCAAACTGCAAATACTGGTCTGTGTGGGTGGGTTTGCGGTACACCTCAGTTTGCAAATGTCCTCTATCAGAGACTGAGACCTCACAGTCCAAGAAAGCCAACCTGCCATTTTTTACATCTTCTCGTGTGAACTTGATGTATTTATCCACAGAGTTGATGTGGTCAGTAAAATGTTGGACTTCCTGGGATTTAATTTTAACCCAGGTGTCATCAACATACCTGAACCAATGACTTGGTGGTGTCCCTGAAAAGGACGTCAAGGCTGTCTTTTCCACCTCCTCCATGTACAGGTTGGCAACAATAGGAGAAACTGGAGACCCCATAGCACACCCATGTTTCTGCCTATAATATTGCTCCCCATATGTGAAGTAGGTTGACTGCAGGCACAGTTTCAAGAGTTGACACAGTTGTTCTGTGGAAAGTGTGGTCCTGCTGCTCAGAGTGGTGTCTGATTTTAATCTTAAACTGACCACCTCTACTGCATCATCAACAGGAATGCATGTAAAGAGTGATGTGACATCAAACGAGACCATTGTTTCATCAGTCTCCATGATGACATCCCTCACCTTATCTACAAAGTCCATGGTGTTCTGTATGTGGTGCTCTGAGCTGCCAACTAAAGGGATGAGTACAGACGCCAGATATTTGGAAACTTTGTAAGTGACAGAG